AACTCAGGCCCGCGGAGGTGGACAGCGGAGGGCGTCACTGGCCTCGTGACGGGGGTGTTCGCGGTCGGTCTTGCATCATTGCTCCTCTAGATCGTTAGTGGACCGGACCACGATGAATGAATATCTATTAGTACACGCACGTCTCCCATCTACCTTGCATCTCTCCCGCTCCCCATTTCCCCTTTCCTCCATTGCGTTTGCCGTCGTTACTAGTATCCGTACATCTGCATTGGTCCTTCCCGCGTTCGCGCGCGCCCCACTATCCCTTTCCGAGTACTGCGGGATCGCGTACCGTGGGCGTACTTATCACCTTGACACAGACATTTCAACCCTTTCTCTGTTCTCAAGCTTACGATACCCCCCGCATGTACTGGGCGTTCTTGACGACCGTTGCATACTTTCGTGTAGGCCAGCGGGCTTATGACCAACACGCATGCACTGTAGTTCTGCGGTGAAAACTCCGCAGGACGCTATGTCACGTTCGATGTTCCTGGGTGGATTGATTGAGGTGCGTGCCGTGGTGGTTGACTGATGCAATTGAGTTGTAGGTACATTTGAACGGTACGTCGCACTCGGTGATCATGCTATCTCTCGCTGACTGTGTGCCCCTAAGGCTTTCCATCCACTATAACGACATAACTAGTTGCAGTCCTCACATGGCCTCTCGTCGAAAGGTCAAGCGCAATCCTGCTCTCGCCCCCAAACCGGGCCCCCGCGCACCCGTCTAGCTCTGGAAGGCGTGTCCGCCTCCACATCCACGTTCACGAACGCTGCCGGCGTGCCGTCGTTATCCTTTGACTTAGACGACGCCCTGACGACGCCCTCGCCTCGCCCACCTCCTCCGGCTGGAGAGCGCACACTCTATCACCGCCAGTTACGAGAGCAGAGCACCGGGGACGTACAGGGAGCAAGAAAGCTCAGCCCGAATCGTAGCCCGTCATACACTCGCTGGCCTCCGCAGCACTAGCAGCACAACCGTCTGAGAGCCATCCATATTGCCACGTTTGGAATTCACAGTTGGACCCATAGTGAGTCATACTCGATAGCTATGCTGTACACTTTCTCGCTGATTATGTACTCCTCAGGCTTCTCATCTAACACACTACAACGCCATGGCCAGCTGCGCTCTGGGCATGGCCTCTCGCCGAAATCCTCCGTTCTGCAACTCGTCTTCGAGCCACTTCGCCGCGAGGTCATACCACGTACCGTCGCCCTTCTCGCTGCCAAGCAAGAACCGGATCCCGTTCATGCGTTCAGCAAACTGCCACGACATGTCAGCCGCAGCGCCCGCTCGCGATCAAACCCGGCACGCACCGTGTCGTACACCTCCCACTTGGCGTCGCCCCAGCCATCCGCGCCCGTGCCGTGTGCGCGGACCACGCCCACGATCGCGGACCAGAGCCGATCCAAATACGCACCGTCCCATTCATACGTGCACACGGCGGCGCTCGACGCTGTCGCCGCCCGCCGCTCCATCTGCAGCCCCGGTGCGTCCTCCCCAACCGCACGCGGGAGACGCGGCGCCTCGCTGAGGACGCTGCGGAGGATATCTACAGCGGGCGAGCTGGGGAGCGGGGCAACGGGCCGGGATGCGTACAAGTTCGACTTGAACAGCGGGAGCGCGAGGGCGCGGGCGAGCGCTGTCTCGCGCTTCTTGTCCGTGTCGAACAGCGCCTTCTTCTTCGCCTTCCCGGGTCCAGCTGGATCGGCGGCGGCGCACGCGTCGAGCTCCTGGTTGCAAGCTGTCCAGAGCCACGCGGGCATGGCGTCGCGGATCTGCCAGAGCGCGCGGGAGCGCTTGATGTAGGGGTCTGTGCGTGCGGCGGCTTTGGGGCGGGGAGCGGGTTTGCGCTTGAGCTTCCCGTTCCCGTATTGCTCGGGACGTGCGAAATTCTTCCGTGGTCGCGGTTTCTCGAGGTGCGCTTCGTACTTCTGCTGGAGGCTGGTGGCGGTGTGGGATGGGTATGGTGACGGCCGGGATTGGGTACTCACAGTGCCTCGAATGCCTCTGGCCCTCCGTACCGCTCCCAGGCCCGTCGCTCGACCTCCATCTCGCTGTAGAGATGCGTGTCGATGCGGTAGCCCATCGCGTTGACTCTTCTAGAGAGGCAAATGTGAGTGTGCACGACGAGAGACGGAGGAGACATGCGCACTTGGAGACGACGAAGTGCAAGCCATCGAGGTCTTTCTCGCGGAGCTTGTACTGCGCCATGGCCTTTGACTTGCATATCTGGGGGACGGGAGACGCTCCTTCAGGTTATATGCGACGAAGAGCCAGGCCGCCCATCGGGGTCACCGTACCTGGTCGAACTCGTCCAACGTTGACTCGCGCCATGTGGATGGCTCGGAGGCGGTTGTGCTGGAGGATACCTGAACCAGAGACATCGTCCAGTGCAGCGGCGGTCTGCAGGGGGTGTGTGGCAGGTTACAATCCTGGCTGAGCGCTGAGTATATGATATATGGAGCAGCGATCGGTTGCATCCTCCTAAACGTCGGCGGCACCTTCTGCTTCCGTCGTAGCGTCGCCTCAGCTCCGACGTTCAGAGTGCCTGGCAATACGTTCAAAGTGTCTGGCCAGGAAGGAGTAGTAGCTCCAACTGAGAATACGTCAGCGGAGGAGGACTATCGCAAAGTTCCAAGCCTTGCCAGTACACCAAAGACCTCTCGATGACGGTGCAACCGCTCGGTCCGTCACCTCCCAGTTTCGAAGATCAGCATAGGGGCAGTAGTATCGTGGAGCAGCACTGCGGATGCAGGCGGTCCAACGGGAGAGTCACCCGTTCCTCGTTCCTCGTTATCTCTCATCCGTCCTCACTAACCATCTCTCCATTGAGCTTGGATATCGAGGGCTGCCCGAGCTCCACCTCGTCTCGATCTCAGTCGAATATCAACGTAATGAAGGGGCATTGTCAACATGAGGTAGTGTACAACCTAACCGTCCCAACACTAGTAGTGCTCACCGCCCGTAAAACCGAAACCGGAAGACGCAGGAGTCTGACTCGTAGGGGGGCTCGGCTCGCGTTCAAACGTCACCGCGTACAGCTCCCTCCCGTCCAGTCGGATGAACACCCGTTCCAAATTGGGGAATTTGATGTATGCATCGAACGCAGTGTACTGGATGTCCAGTTCGGTCCCATCGCTAATATCACGGGGATCCACTGGGTCCCATCCACTGTGAAAGCCCGAGGTGCCTGGACGCTGCTTGCACAAGTGAGTGGTCGGCATCTGGATATAGAACCGCGCACCCATGTCAGTCTCATGCATGTGTTGGATATGGAACAGTGTAGAAACATACGCGAAATACATAGGCCACGCGCTGGTATTCCCGTATACGCCTGTCGACATCGTCACCGTGCATCGGCAGAGAGAAGAACGACCGCTTCGAGATGACGAAGAACTTCAGCTTGGGGCCAACGAGGGACGTTCGTGCATACTGCTTAGAAGCGTGTGCTCTCAAGGACAACATGTATTCGTCCCGATCCAGTCTCTAAAGGCATGCGTTACTCGACACGATAGCACCCAAGGTGACAAACGGCGCGCCGACTCACCTCGTCGTCCTCCACGCGACAGAGCGTGTCGTATATCAACAACTCCTCCAAGTTGGGGCACATGTCCGTGACCTGCTGCGCGACGAACGGAACATGGGGTACCGCCGTCTCGGGCAGGCAGATGGTCATTGCGAGGAATTTGAGCCGCGGTCCGAGAGCTCCGCAAACGTCATAGAGGCGTTGGAGGGCCTCCTTTCTGGGATAATCACAGTCCTGCTGCAGGTATTCTTCATGGTCGTGCGCCCCGACGCCGGGGGTATGTAACACAATGCGAATGGTGTTCAGATACCCCTGGTCCGATCTCAGCAGGTTGCGGAGGTGGAAGGGGAGGTGAGGTGATTGCTCATCTTGGAACGCGTACGGTGAGTCGGCGGAATGCGAGGCGGCAGTGGCGACTGCGAGCTCTTCGCCGTCAGTCGCGTTCTGAGCCATCGCGGGCTGCTGGATGGCTCCATCATGGATATTTGCATACGGCGGAGGCGGAGGAGTGTCATAGGATGCAGCGACCGCTGAGGGTTCTCCGGGGTCGTCGGAGAAGAAAGGTGCCAGTGGAGAAGTGATGCAACGCTGGCAGTCGTATTCAGGCGGGTATGAGGCCCAGTACTCCGGTCCCTGACTGTGGCGTAGATCATACGTCGTCATAGGCCGGGAGACTTGCATGTTCTGCTGGTCAACCTGCACGGCATTCGCTATGGTTGTGTCACTACGTGTAGTTTGAGACCAGAGAAGCAGCGACTGCTCACCAGGATAGTAGTCCAATGCCGGATAGAGAAGCTGCGGCTTGCCTGCGAACGCCATGTCTCTACTGGGGAGATCAAAGTATGGCTTGCGTTCGGTAGTTTTGACGCTGTTTTATGGACCGACGCCGTGTGGCTGAAGTGAAGCGTCATAGTTCCGCGAAGCCATGACAAAATGCCTGGTTCACGACACGCCACAAGCAGGACAACACGAGCACAAGGCCGTAGAAAAAATCGCAGCACAAAGACTGTGAAGTATGTCCAGTCCTTTCGTTGAAGAGAGCAACAGCATGTGCGCACACAATCGCGAAGTTACGGGCATACTTATCTCTTTGGCACCACGACTGGAAAGACATCAGGACGTGCTGGTGTCCAGGAAGCATATTAGTGGGTCAAACAGCGAAACCTACAACAAAACCAACCATCACTCAGCGGCCCAGTGATGGAAGGTGTCGGCAGGCGATACAAACACGACACTCACCTCAAGAGGCACTTGCCTATGGCTTCGCGACACAACTTCGCCTGCAATCATTGCGAATGTAGGGTTTGGGTAGGTCAGGGGCTAGTCAGGAAGAGCATACGTTGCGACACCAGCTGGTCGAGTCCTCAGTACGGTGCAATACGGGAGGTGAAGGTGACCAAGATGTCAGCACTACTTATTAGTAGAAGCGGCCTCGGCGCGTTGAATGCGAGCACACTGCAAGCGTCTAAAACAGACATCATAGCCAAGCGGTTACGGCGACAGATTCGAATCGACTTGATCCCAGTAGATCCCAGTCCAGAATTATCTGTTTCCCTTTGGGAGCGCAGGTTCGAATCCTGCTGGTGTCGATATTAGTCCCTCGTTGGACCGTTTTTAGATGGATAGCTCAACATGTTTACTTCTTCCTCTATGAACTGAAATGTCACATATAACAAGCAAGCTACGAATGACGAGACCGGACACTATCATCAACGCAAAGCGACGAGATACATGTTCGTATCTCAAAGCTTCGACCCCATGCTGCCCATCCGGACGATGCTCCCGCCGTCGACTGGGATTGTCGCTCCGTTGACGTACGCGCCTGCGCGGCTCGCAAGGAAGATGGATGCGCCCGCGACGTCCTCGGGTGTGCCGATGCGGCCGAGCGGGATGCTTGCCTTGATGATCTCGCCCTGTTCGCGCAGCGTATGCGCCATCACTGAGAGGGGCACACGAGAGGTCAGTTTGCTAGTCAAGAGGTGACACGACAGATTGAGTAGCACGCACTCTTGCTCTCGAAGGGTCCTGGAGATAAAGCAAAAGATGATGAATGTGTGCGCAACAATACAATGGGGTTGAAGACGTACCACATGCAAGCGTGTTGCTGGTGATGCCGTCGAAGCCGAGGCGGCCTGCGAAGTTGCGGCTGAGATGGTGCAGACCGGCCTTGGAGGCCGAGTAGGCGTACGTCTCGTGTCCGGGGACACTCAGGCCCTCGACGGAGCCAATCTACGCACACGATGATGAGCGACGACGATACCGTTGGAGATATACTATTCAGAGAGGGGGACAGCGCTCACGTTAATGATACGTGCTGGGTCCCTGTATACGTTTCCGTCCATGCCACTCTGTTCCGCAGCTGCGCGCAGAAGGGGCAGACACTTCTGCGTAAGGGTGAACACCCGTTGGAGGTTGAGCGTCAGGAGCTTCGTCCATGCCGCGTCCTAGATGCGCAGTCAGCATTCCTCATGCCTCCAATTCTTGCAGGTCTGAGTTGTGCAGAGCACAGGTACACGTACCGGGTAGTCTTCAATGGTGTCTCCCCAGGCCGCGCCCGCATTGTTCACAAGGACGTGAAGGACCTTCTCCTTCGCGCTGAGCTCCTTCACGAGCCGGTCGACCTCTTCGAGCTTCTGCATGTCCGCAGGGATGGCTACGCACTTCCCCGGCCCGAGCGCGTTCAACTCCTTCTCCGTCACCGCGCAGTCCTTGGCCGAGCGAGAGGATATGTACACCTAATGTTGCGAGTCTGATATAGCTTGTGCACGCGACGGGGTGGTCAAACGTACCTTCGAGCCGTTCTTCACGAACCCAGTCGCAATCTGGCGCGACTTCAACACCTCGTTCCTCGTCATCACGCACTACGAATGTACACACCATCTTCCCGACACCGCGGCTACCGCCGGTGACCAGCACGACCTTGCCCTTGACGTCGAAGAGGTTCTCTACCTGAAACGAAGACATGATGGCAGGTGAGGAGTGAGGACTTGAACAGGGGGTCGGGGGCGCATCCAGGCGAGGTTTTTGTTCCTCATGGCCGCCACTGTAGCGAACGCGGGGTGTCGGGAGCCCCGCGTGTGGGGTAGCCGGTGGGCGCTCCGGCCTGGGTTTCTCCTTCGCCCGGCGCCGGTGCACTGGTGCTGCACGCCAGCTTGCACCCTGAACGCAGTCTACTTACCACCTGCTATGGCCGCAACATAACGTCCTCCGTACATCACTACAAGAGATACAAAACTTGACACACCCACCCAATCAATCCGTTTGCATCGTGAAAGTCTCATACTGCCAGTACTCAGCTCGGGAGGTCACGGAGGCGTAGCAGAGAGCTCATGGGGCACTTACGAAAGTCGAGCCAAGAGTCTTGGTCCAAGAGGTACGTGTTTGAGTCGAACATACATCTCTCGCAGGAACAATACCCCTCTTTAATATTTTGAATCCCCTTGATGCTGCACTCGAATGTGAACTGCGACATCAGCCTATAGGCAGAAGTGTCGCTGGCTGGACAGTTCCCCTCTACCACCTCATGATAGCCATCGAATTCCCGTCGAACGGGAGCCGCAGCCGCAGATTCGAATTTGTTCGCCTCCCGCTCGGCGACCTCCGACGCTGTGTTCATTCTGAACACCGCTCTCCACCGGCACCTGTGGCCCACCGGAATCACAAGACATGTTTGATAGGGGTTCTGCACACACGAGAAGGCGAAGACAACTTGGACAAGGACTGGTGAGCACTGGGAGAACATTGGACGCCACCCTGGCCAAAGTATGGGAATAGGCTCGGTAGTCATTCAGGTCTATGATGAATGACGGCACGAATGTTGAGTACCTATCACGATGAGAAAACAGTACGGCACCGCAGCGAAGCATAACATGGCAGGTGTGTCCTTGTCTGTACTAGGGTGTGTCCTGATGATAATACTCCGTGAACCATAATTGATCGTTCCTCGCCAGGCGACTTAAGTACTACGTTATACTCCGTTATGATCTTCCTGATGAGCTGCCCCGACGACTTTGAGCTTTCTTCGTCACAGCGCTCTCCACTAGGAGGTCATCACACATCGCAAACAGGATGCATCAGCCCCAGACATCCTCTCAACGCCTCGGCATTTGCCTAAGGACCACACAAGGATGGTATGTGGACGCACTTGCGGAAGCAGACTGCGCATCGTGGACACCTGCGGTAATACGATATGATGTATGATAGGTCATCCATAGGGATAACTTAAGGGTCTGTCGCCTTCTGCGGCTTGTCATCCACTGCCGAAGATCCATGGGGTGCTGAGACCGGCAATGGGACGCAAGGTGGTTGCAAGACGGGGACAAGATCGATGACCGGCGGACGAACCAATATATGCGAGGCCAGACCTCGCTGAAAGTGGTGATAACTATCTCCGCATCCATTTCGCGCTGTCACTAATGATCATCTGCCAGCTTATAAGTTAATGACTGACCACCCGCAGCTTCCATACGTCCCCTCAAATGTCGATCATGGGAGGACTGCAAACCGGACGCTCGCTAGTCCCCAAATTTGGATTGTTTCCGCCGGTCAGATGTTCAACCGTAGGAAGCGGGATCTCACCTCGGTTGAGGCGACAAAAATGGCGGTAGGTACACGATACACCTTGATTCCTGGCCAACTGAACATGCATATACGTGAAAAAAAGATCTGTCTTTCTATCATCGTCTGTGGCGTCGGCGTGGCGCTCGACAATGCTCGACTTGGGACGCCGTTAATCAGTCACTCGTTCCATCACGCGACCACACGGTTCTGTCATTCACAAACCACAAGTCGCCCACCACCTTCCACCGAGGTCGAGTCACCTTCCCATGAAGGCCCTTCGGACCGAGGTCCTGTCCGGGCAAAGATCGCGATGGCCACCTGGTGGCACTCACGAGGGGCTATTTGTGGGTCCCTTCCGGTTTGCTGCTCTCCACCACGACGATACTGCAGAGGTTTCGCTGAGTCCATGCCTGCCCCCAACATGGGTCCTACACAAGATGCGAAAACCTCACTGCGTGTGAGGATGTCGAGCATGAGGTACCTGCCATGTGCCTCCAAGTGCTCCCGTTCAGCGTACTGATGTGTTTGTGGTGACCTCACAGTCGCGAGGAGGTGAGTCCCGCTAGCTTACGGCATCCGTACGAACTCACACCATCCGCCCAGTTACTTCTGATACACTCGCAAGCGGTCGATTTCCTGCAGGAGGTCCGCCTTCGTATCAACGCGCTGCCGTGCATTCACCAGCTTCCCGTCGAGCTCCTCACCGACATATTCAGATATGCGATCGACTCACCTTGCACGTCCTTGCACAATACCTCAATATTTCGCAAGGTAGACAATGCGCCCCTACTCACCCTCATCAGAATCACCCATGTCTGCCGACGGTGGAGGGCAATCGCCACCGACGCGTCCTTTCTCTGGGGGCGCATTCACAACCTGCCGAACGAGTCTTTGGTGAAGTTGTTCATGGAGCGATCGCGTACCGCACCGCTCACCGTGACCGTCGTCGTGAAGAACAAAGGGCGGAAGCTACTCGACAGCGTGTTCACGACGTGTAGCGCCCGGCTCCGGACCCTCCACGTCTTTGACGCGAGGACTTCGTACGCCCGGCACCCGCCGCTGCACCAGCGTCCGCTGCAGCAGCTCCTCCCGGATCTTCAGTGCTGCGTCATCGTATCGAGGTCCGAACGTCGTGACAGATTCGGATGGCCCTCTTCGGCGGGCTCGGGATCGATGCCCTTCATATTCAGTCGTCGAATCTCCACCCTGCGAGCGTTGGCGATCACACCAGTCGCGTGGCTACCGGGCAACTCCTTCCCGTCGCTAAGTCATCTGTTTCTTTCCTTTTCCATGCATGCTGGGACTACGCTCATCGAACATCTGCGTCGCCTCCTCTCGTTGCTCTCTAACGCGCCGAACCTCGGATGTCTCCAGCTCACCGACGTTGGGCAAGCAAGGGAAAGCTACGGCGCCATCAATCCGTTCACGCCATCTCCTCCGGCGCCGTCTTCAAACAATGAACATAAACCCATCCTATTGCTCCGCCTACGATCTATCATCGTCACGGAGAGTGGCCGGATTGTTCTTCCATTCCTCGAATGTCTCGACATGCCCGAAGACGTCATGGTGCGTCTCAGCGGCATGGACATGCACGTTGGAAACTTAGGCACGCCCCGCCTTCCCCACCTTCCACCCATGAACCGCGCATCGCACATGGAGCTTTCTGCAATCAAGCGCACCCTGCATCTGGTCGCCGGCCCTGCGGAAGCGCACGCTTCCTCGCGCCCTCCGGGCGGTCTCTGGCTCCAGGCGACGTACCCCGAACACGCAGGGAATGACTGGAAAGCGTGGCTCGCGGATCATCCGCCCGGGTCCCCATTCGCGTCCCTCTCGACGCTGCACATCTGCTTCCGCGACCCGGAGCTCTACCCCGCGCTCCTGCAGCACACGACGCGCCTCGTCGAGCTCGGCGTGCACTTCTCGGACGCGACCAAGTCCGTCTGGGAGCCCTGCCTGAAGATCCTGTGCGCGCTGCTGGGGCGGCGGGACAACCCGTGCTGCCCGAAGCTGCGCGTGCTCTGCATCGAGA